CCAGAATTCCAGGAGTTGAAGTCTACTCATCTTAAAGTGGCCAAGTTTGGACAACACTGTTCTACACTAAGATGTTGGCTGCATTGGAGAATTAATGATAAGGGGAAGGTGGCAGGACACAATGATATATATATGTGTGTGTGTGTGTGTGTGTGTGCGCGCATGTATGTATTGGACTATACCCAAATCTAAGCAAGAGGTAGAATAGATCTAGATTTGGAGAAAGAATGGGACAATGTGGAAGAAATGTGGTGATATTTTTGAGTCAGTGGAAACATTAACTTGTACACAGTGATAATATACATTAACTGAAGTATCATGTGGCAAAAACTAGGTGGGACTGAAGTAATTTATAAATATTCAGTAGTTTAAATGCATAAATAATTAGAAAGCAATGTCAGCCAGATTCTTCCAAATGAAAAGCATTAAAATTTTAAGAGAGGACAGCAACTTTAGAATATATCTTTGTCATGCTTGCCCAGAGATTTTTAAAAAACAATTACGTTCAGTGCATTATGTCATCAACTGTAGCATTTGAAATAAAGGAAAAATGTACTTTACAAAGTAAACATGCATTAATTTCAAATTATTTCTGAATTTTAATGTTAAGTTCATTGATAAGTCATAAATACATTCTTTCCTAAGCGTTTTCACTTGTCAAGTTCTTTTCTTGAATGTTAACTCTAACCCTAGACTTAGGTATCCTATTGGGAGAAAAACATTGTTTTTAGAGCCTCTTCTAAATCTATTGTTACTGTGAATCTGTCCTGCTACCAGCAGTCAGTTGTTCATCTTTCACAAGATAATTAAGGAAATTTCAGAATTTTACCTGATCTTGAAGTTTCTGAAACATCAGAGGGTGAGGTTTTTCCAGTATTGATTCATCCAAACGAGACTGCCCTTCTACATTGACTTGATAAGAAGCTTTATTTGACAAGAAATTTCTGTAAATTTCATTTGCCTTTGCTTGCATCTATGAAGAGAAGGACATATTTACTAAGCACACATGTCATTTCCCCTACATTGCAGATGAATAGGCTTGGATCTTAAGAACTTTTTGCACTAATTGAATATTATTCCATTTAAGCATGACTTCCGGTGGGGACAATGGCGGCTTAGTCATCTTTCTGCGAGAGGGGAGATGGCACCGCAGCTAGATTGATTGGCTGACCAAATTGCTCTGGATTAAGGAGGAAGTGAGGAAATCGTCCCGTATGGTCTACGGACAGCTGTTCCTTGAATGCTAATCATGGAGACAGCAGCTTCAGCAAACAGCTTTTGAATTGAGTGGCCAGGAGGTGGGGGCTCCATCTTTGTTCGAAGCTGCAGTGCAATCTTTTATGGACACTAGAGCCAACCGAACCTCATTTCTAAACACTGTGGATCGTAACTATTTTTGAATTTAAGAGAGACCTTCCTTTGCGACAGATAAGTAATTATCTTGGGGCTTATCCTTATTTTTGTGACTATATTTTAAAAAAGAAATAGAGCTTTAATTTGAATTTGATTAATTCTCAAAAAGCAGGAGGAAAATTGAAATTTAAAAGAGACTTAACAGTTACTTATTATGAAAAGGGAAGATTCATTTGTTAGAAGTTTATTTTTCTATGAAACTCCATATGCAATAACAAAGTTTGCCTTTTCCATGGGAAAGTTTCTTGTTTTGCTAGGTGGTGCATGTTAATTGGTTGAGTTCTTAAAACAGAAGAAGACTCTAATTTGTTCCTTATGTGTTTCCTCTGACATGTGCCTGAAGTTTTAGCTTGAAAGGCACGTGCCTGCAATTACAGCGTGAAAGGCACCAGAGGGCATGAACTGTCTGCTTACTTTCACTTATATAATACCTATGGTTGTTTGCTCTGGGGGAAAAAATAAGAAGAAAATAGTTAGAAGAGGTCCCTTGAAGCAGTCGTTAGAAGATAAAACGACTCCTTTATGCTCATTTCAATCAATGTTTGATGAATTAGGAGCTAAATTTAAGTCCTTTGAAAAAAAGCTAAAGCACAGATTGGATAAGATGGTTAATTTTGAAATGGAGGTGGAGACTGACTTGAAAGTGGATTTGGAGTTCAAAAAAAATGCAGGACTCTGAAGGTGGTATAAACAAAGATGCTGTGGATTTGAAAATGGATTTAAAAATGCCAAAGGACAAGAGTGATGTGGAAAAGGATGCCAGAGTAGATTTACAAGTGAAATTAATTGATGTTATAATGATTAAAGAGGACATACAAATAATGGAAAAGAAGAGTGACTCAGAAAGACTTTTTATCTTGGATTTGCAAAAGGATTGTGCTGAATCAGTGAGATTGTTCCTGGGAAAAGACAAAGAGAAACTACTGGGGCTGTTTTGGGAAGAAGATAAGGAGAGAATAATGGAGAATCAACCTGTGGGACATTATTTGAAAGGATTAAAGATTAAGCCTTTTAAAAGTAAATAGAAGGCTTACAAAGTGAACTTATTTGATTATGGTTAATATGTTGAGGTTGAGGTTTTTTGGTAGTTATTAATGGAAAAAAAACAGGACTGAATAATGAGGTTTTGAGGATCTGTGTATAAGGATTAAAGTTAAAAAATATTTGCTATTAAATTTAAGAGATTTTTGTTTTTATATATAACAGGAATAATGTTTTTATATGTATAAGGGTAGAAAGATATGACACTATGGAATTGTTGAGATGGCAAAATTGATGGCTTTGATTTAAAAAAAGATACTGTGTAATTTTAATGCAAATTGGAAACCTTTTTTTGGACTTTTTGCGGGAAACAGAAAAAATGAAATTATGTTGTATGGATTTGAAGATTAGAAATAATATGGGTTAATAGAAGTAATGGGAGTTAAACTGTAAACTGAGAGCAAGAGTTTGATGTATATTGTCAATCAATCAATCAGTTTATTACAGTCATAGACCAGTACAACTAAAAATCCACATAACATGTCTAATTAAAAATCTTAGATATAATAATATCAAGTAAAATCTATATCATA